AGGCCGTTTGGTGGGCAGAACCCCCCCAGCAGACCCCGTTTCTGGGGGGGGGTGTCTGTGGAGGAGGCTTCAGCAAGTTCCAGCTCGGCAAAGAGCCCAGCCAGGGTTTTATTCTTCCTTCTCCTTCCTTCCCACAGATCCAGGTTCAGAGAGCGTCAAAGGACGTTTCCAGGGCAGGCGGGGAGGTGAGGTGGTCTTCTGCGTACCCTTCGTCTCCAAAGGGCCAAAACCCTCCATGGCCCCAGCCCAGAGCTGGGGGCAGGCAGGAGAGAAATCAAGGGGTTTGGGGGGGTCGGGGCACCCCTGGCTGGGTGGGAGCAAAATCGGCCCTTGTTAATTCCCCGTCTCCACTTCTGTTTGCGGCCGTGACGTGGGACAGGGCACACGGGGAGGACAGCGGGCTCCTGGGGATGGGTGGCTCGGCCGCGCTGGGGGCGGAAGCGGCTTCTCCTCCTTCCTATCCTGCTGGGCACAGCTCTCTTTCTCTTTCTCTTCTGCAGCAGAAAGGAGAAGCCATCTACACCGTAAGTCGTCCCAGTTTGCTGCTCCTTCGGCCCTGGTGCCGTATCCCATGGGTGCCGCATCCTGTGAAGTGCCATATCTCATGGGGTGCTGTATCCTACTGGGGCCGTGTCCTGTGAGTTACCTATCCCATGGGGTGCCCGATCCCATGGGGTCCGTATCCCATGGGGTGTCATATCCCATGGGTGCTGTATCATGTGGGGTGCTGTATCTCATGGGGTCCATACGCCATATGGATATAGGTGGCCTATATCCTGTGGGTGCCATGTCCGATGAATGTTGTATCCTGCAGGGCGCTGTATCCCATGGTGCTGTATCCCGTGGGGCCCATATCTCACAGGGTGCTATACCCCGTGGGTGCTATAGCTTGCAGATGCCATATCCTACAGGGTGCTGTATCTGAGGGGTGCCGTATCCTGCAGGGTGCCCTTTGCAGGCACCCAGCAGCGGCCACGTGGGGACATGGGACACCATCGCTTGATCTGACGCTCCTGGGCACGCGTGGTCCACGATGGTCCCATAACCCGCTGCTGTCTCCCCTCTCCCGCGCAGGGGCTCAGCATGGAAAGCCAGGAGATGTACGAAACCCTCCAGCCTAAAAGCTCCTAGGGGCCGCGGAGCGATGCGGACCCCCGGCATTGCTGCGAGGGCTTCCCTGCGCCCTGGCCCTCCCCGCCGCCCACTGTGCCAGGCTCATCTCGGCCTCGCCGTTTCCAGCACAGAAGAGCTGCAGATGTTCCTCCTTGACCCTCGTGCTTGGCAATGACCCCCGAAATAGCCCTCCCCGAAGGCCGAAGTGGACTCTGCTGCCCTCCTCCATCCTCCCCGCTCTCAGCTGGATCTGTTTGGGGGAGGTTGTAGCAGCATGGCCACTTGTCCCTTTTGGGTTTTTCCACCCCAAAATGGGCTGCTGAGCCCCAAAAATCCACATTTACAAATTCTGCCATAGAAAACCTGGCAGCCCCCCATAACAGGGAAGAGGGAAATGGTCTCCAGAGAAAAGCACTGAGTTCCTTGCCCAGGACTGAGCCGGGAAGAGCTGGAGGAAGCCTTTGGCCTGAGGGTCGGCCGAGGGAGATGTCCCCAGGTGTCCCACGGCGGGCCAGAGGTGACACAAGGGACACCTCGTCCCGGGGCTGCCTGTGCCTCCCTTGCCAGGGCCTTTCGCCTCTGTGTGGTGCGAGTGTGGAGTTGGAGCCTTTTCTGGGTGGGAAAAGGCCAGTTTGCAGCCCTGGGTCCCCAAGCTGGGCAGCAGAGCCCTGCGCAACCCCTACATCCCTTGTTGCTGTGAAACAGCCCTTCCTAAAGAACCGGCACGTCTGATGCTAGTGTCTCTATTTAAAGATGCCCCCAGAGCTCCCATCGTGACAGGACGTGTTGAGTTTTTGAGGAAATAAAGCTCTTCTGGAATCCTTGGTGTGGTTGTGCGCGTTTCCTGCCCGTCCAATGGAATTACCGACAAGGACCACAAAGCGTTGCTCTACGCGCGGATCCGGCAGGTCCCCCCCTCGCAGCGCGGGGCGGCCAGCGGGGACGGGGACGGGGC